CAAAATTTCATGTTATACGTACAGTCTGAAGGTTTAGGTTTGAAACCAAACCACGGAGGATCCGTTGATGTTATCCGCGATATTGCCAAATCTAAACCTACTAATTTTTTAAAAAAATTGGTGAGTCATTCTTCAGATATTCGATGCGTTCCAAACTTTTGTCACAGTCTGTATAACGACCCTATGACCACCAAAATGGCGCAAATTAAAAAATTGCTGTTATTTATTGTTCCCTCCATTATAGCATTAGTAATGTTCTAGCATCACATTTCCAACGGTTTGAAACCTACCGAGCATGCGCAGTGGAGAAAAATGTTCAAGCAAGGGTAGTTGGGAATTATGGGTCCGAACTTTCAGCAAACCAACTTTTGTTTGAAACCTGGATTCGAACGGTGGAAACAGAATTCAGGATTTTTGCAAGACTCACGATTTTCTTTTGTTATGGGTGCTTTATGATTTGGGGTTATGGTTTCTGAATTTGAATAGTATGACCCAATTGAACAGAGTGATGACATTTTTATAATATTTGGTGTATACTAGTTTTTTATTGTATTGTATGCCTGTTTGTAATGCCCACAGAAGCGTCTGATTCTTATAGTTCAAGTTCAAAATCCGATTGGATCTCAGATAGGTATCGATTCGAGTAATGATGAAAACATATTCTACACATACTGCTTCATAATCGAAAAAATAAGCATTACGTAAATGTATCGGTATCTCTTTTCAATGAAAGTGAATTCATGGTACGTTTCAAAGTGATTCGCAAAGTGGCCCAAGATATCTCAACTATAAATACCAACAAAGCATGTTCTTCAACAAGGCGACTGGAGGCAGACTTTATGTTTATAAGGAAACACTCATCTTTTTGTGTTTCGCACGAAATGAAACACCATTTCGTGATGTAGCAGATAGATTAGATTATTTGATATAACGATTAGTTGTTTACATAATCAAGTTCTTATAAAGAATATCTGGAACTGTAATTCAATGGCCTAACAATGAGGAAAGAAACGTAGAATTTCATCTAATTGTCAAATACGATGATATCACTGTCAACTTAAACGTAATTTTGACAGAAAAATGTGTTCTAGCAGAATCAAATTTGAAACCGTTTGAAACTAGTCTTTTGGCAACGCGTGTGCGTTGATGGAGTTCACAATCGGGCGTCAAACCGTTAGAAATGTGATGCTACAGCATTACTATTATGTTTATGTAATATAAAACACAGAATATATCTTACGTTTCAAAAATGAAACAACGTGTAAGATAGTGTTAAAAAATCCATGGGGTATGAGTCAAAAATGTTGAACCAATGAAAGAGAGAGTAACTGACCTCCTCTATGTTCATCTTGGTGCGTACGACCTTCCTGCGCACCTCCGTCTCGTAGCTCTCCTCGATGGTTTCCACCTCTGCCATGGTTGTGACGATCTTAGGTCAGTCAAGGTGAAAAGGGTGGCCTGAGCCTTAAGGGCAACTCGTTGCCCGCGCACCAACACGTTCGAACGCGCACTACTGTGCTTGGTATCGCGGCGATCGCACGTCACGCAACCAACTCACATTTGCTGCGACTTTGCTACTGAGCGGCTATCCGCTCCCGTTGAAAAGCGCCACTACGTTTTTGCGACGACGTCGCGGTGCTTAGCGTCCTGTACTGCGTCCACGCATTTGCGGTTCAAACGGTGCTCCGTAATGGACACAACAATTTATTTGACCAATTCCAGGGTTATTTCGCTCTACCGTATGGGCACACGGTGCCCTAGCTTTTTTTGACAGGAGACCATTCAAGAAGTAATACTTACGTAAGTAAGCACTAAAGGGGGGGGCGGGAGGTCTTCGCTTTGCTTATTTTGGATGACATGGGAGATGGGGGTCTAAATCGTGATTACACGAAAGTATCATCTATTTTTTTACTTTTTCGGATTTTCTACAAAATTTATTCGATTTTGATTTGAACACATATGACAACCCTGGTAGTCTGTGCACGAAGGCGAAATGCATCTTCAGGGATTTCCCAAATATGGATATGCTTACTCGAATAGAAAGTTAGTCACAAAAGCTGATGATGATGGGAGAAATGAATATAACCACCGTATAACCAGGTAAACCACATTTCCTCCTCCCATCATTCAGGAACTGGCTGGTTGCATATTGCCTTATGATCATCTTGCGTGTCATATGGATGAACGGTGACGTTACAATTGATGAACATTTAAAAACAACTAGTTTTGAGTTTTCCGCAAATATATTACCAAAGGTGTGGAATTCAGTAGAAATTGATGGTTACTGCAAAATATGTTGGGTCGGACGAGCAGGATCTTCCTGATTTTCCAGACATTAAATATGGTATTCAGAACATATGTACTAATACTTGCTCCAAATTGTAAAATGTACCAAAATAGTAGTAGTAGTAGTAGTAGAAATATTTATTTAGCACATTTGGCTACATAAACGGAATAATTGTAAAACAACTTAAAACTAGTAAAATCAAGCCATATGATGTATGATGTAAATGCTGGGCAACCTATAATTGTAGATTTAACAAGTGATTTCTCAATTTTACTTTAAATTTTGTCAAAGTTTTCTGGTCTTTTATCTCTGTGTATAATTTATTATATTCAATCAACCCTTGATGGAATACAGATTTGTAGCATATGTTATACTATATGGAAGTCATATTTATTTCTGCTATTATGATGGTCGACATTTGATGATGTTAAATTAGTTAGACTTGATGGAAATATATTATTTTTTACTTTATAAATGAATATCATTACAAGATATTTGATAAAAATTTTTACATTGAGCCATTTTAATTTGCTAAGCATTTGTATAATTGGAGTATATTTATTTTTATTCAGTATTATTCTCATGCACTTATTTTGTAAAATTTGCAGTCATGCAAAAATGGAATTATTTGCTAAATATAGAATAATCGAACAGTACAAGAAATTTGGAAGAATGATGGTATTATAGATAATTTTTCTGCTATATGAACTCAGACATCCAGAAACCCTCGATAAATATCCCACTTTTCTACTAATCTTATTTATAACTTTTTCATAATGAATATCAAAAATTAATCGAGAGTCAACAAAAACCCCCAGGTATCTAAAATTTTCTACGAATTCAATATCTTCACCATCATATTCAGTTGAACATTTGTACATTGTTTTTTTCCGATTAACAAGGCTTTCGTTTTACTCGTATTTAATTTTAGTCTGTTAGATGCTAACCATTTTGAGACAAGTTTCAAGTCTTCATTTATATAAGAGATACCAGTCTGAATATTTTTAGTACTTATATAAATCATAGTGTCATCGGCGAAAATCTGAATTTTGCACTTTTTGACTATGGCAGGTAAATCATTTATGTATAAAATAAGAAGAAGTGGTCCCAGGATACTGCTGTGTGGAACACCCAACGTATTTTCAATTTTTGATGAAATAGTGTCATTAACTTTTGTACCTTGCATCCTTTTAGACAAATAATTTCTAAACCAATCTAAAACACTACCTGATATACTATATTCCTTCAATTTACCTAACAAAATATCTCTATCAATCCTGCTATGACAACGCAATCATGAGAGGGGGGTAAAGGATTTGCTTCCTTTTGCTGACAATGGGCAAGGGATGTAAAAATCTCATTACTTGAAAGGCCCCCAGACAAAAGCTTTTATCGCCACTGTCAAACAAAAAAGCTCGACAGTAATTGCTCTGTCGGCCTTTCCTGTCCGAAATGAGATAACTTTGTAATACCGAAGAAGCTGAAATACACCCTAATAAGAATTTTGACTTACCTATGGTTAGTCGAACTCAGGTAGATTATCCCCTAGGGACTAAGGAGCGGTCTTACCGGCCGGTTCTGGATGTACGAAGTTCCGTTAACATAGCGACAGAAGATAGCCGCAGATCGCCGACAGCCCCTCAGTGGTGAAAGAGCCCCGAGACTGTCCGTTATAGAAGAGTCATCGATCAGTCGGATTGCTCTCCTATGAACAGCATCGAACTTGGCTAATGCAGTCAGGGCGGCAGAGCACCCCAAACATGTGAGCGATATGCGAGGCTAGGTTTTATCTGGGCCTTGTACAGAGTAGGGAGGTTATTTGGAGAAAAGTACTATTAACCCTAAACAGCTAGCCTAGCTTTTTTTCCAGCAGCTACTGCTGTTGGCGATATGCGTTTGTGCCAGATCAAGTCCTCGATTATTTGAACGCTGACTAACCGAAATGACCGGCTCCTTGCGCTAGGGTGCTTGTTGTTATTTCTTAGGATCAATGAATTGTACCAGATTATTATGTCTCAAGCAGTTGTAAGCTCTAGATCTCTCATCGGATAGGAAGTCTATGATAACTCTGCTTCTCTCCACCAGAAATCGACTTGGCACTCTGAATTCCTGCATGTAGAGTACTAACATCATCAGCAAAGCTGTGGATCGAATTGACCGTACAGAAAGGTCATTGATATGTATGTAATAGAAACAAAAAATGTCAAGACTGATTCCTTTGGAACACCCGCATCTTGGGATGGTGGATGTCTTGCGGTCAGTGAGGAAGTCGGTCACCCATCTGTATAATAAATTGATCCGCACTGCTCTCTTGTCAATCCAAATTCTAAAATCTGGGATCAGCCTTCTAGTCCATGCGCCCAGGGCCGTTCTAAGCCATGCAGGCTTCCCTAAGCCCACACCAAGGGGCTCCAGGGCAAATCGAGATCCAAAATCCAGAGCCCTATTTTGCTGTTAGTTAGAATTGAAGAACGGGGTGGGAGGGGGGATACTCAGGAATTTTGGTTTTTGGACATTTTGGGGCCTCCTGTCAAGCCAGGGTTATGACAGAATAGCATGCACATTATGGCAAGTTGCATCCCACTCCTGCCATCTGACAAAAAGAGCCTCTCTGTACGATAGCTTTTTTACTAATCATCCAAAGACCACTTTCTAAAATCTGCCAGAATGTGTAGCTTATGTAAGGAATTATGTGAACGATAGAAGATACTCGTTTTCAATCAACAAACTTTATTGAAACAAAAAATACATACACAATATCAAAACATACCCAGTTTCTAATAATATAAAACGTGGTAGAGAAAGTCAGGCGTGTACATACAGCTTATAATTTTTTATTCTATTTTTATGTATTGTAGTGTTGAATTAAGACGCACATAATGATTCTCATGTTATATTCTTTACATTTTCAATAAAATTTATAACATATAAATGCAAATCCATTTTCACTAAATGTACTATTAAAGTTTTACAATTGTTGCTAATTTATAAATTCGCCTCAAAAGCTTTCTTGAATTTCGATCAGTAGTTCCGTTTATTTTGTTTCTTGCGAAACACTAGACAATGAAACACTAAACAAAACAAGCGCTCCATTTCAGATCGACCACAAAAAAATCCCTTAAAAAAAACATCGCAACAACTGTTGCAAAAGCTTGATCGCGATTTAAATAAAGTTTTGTCTAAGCAATAAGTATAACTGAAACCAGAATTTCATGACGCCTCCAACGAAACTGTACGTGCTCTTGTTAGCTGTCCAACTGGCAGTCTCGACATAAAAAAGATTGTGTTCACTGGTAGATCCTCTTCAAGTTGCAGAAAAGTAGCTCTGGTAGACCAAACCAATGGAAGTTGTTGCGAAATACAGAAAGCAACACCACCAAGTCGAGAAACCAAATAATCCTCGGTAAACGTTGCTCGTCAACACCTGAAAACATTCATTTTTGAAAAGTCAAATTACAAAATTATATACAGAACGATACATTTTGCCCACATGGATGCTACTCATATTTTCTACATTCTATGCAATTGCTTCAACCCTTTTAGTCATGGTTAGTGTCTGTTCTCTTAAAGCAAAATTTTTAGTTCTCGGGTTTTATTAATAGCTGAATCACGAAAGACCATTTCAATTTAAAGCTTTTGTCAAAAATATTAATGTACTAATTGGACCACTACTTTTAAAAAATCCACAGATTGTAGCAATGAGTGTGTCCCTACATGGTAGCCTTATTTCTTTGGAGCTGTAGTCTAAGACCGTTTGTCATCAATGTTTGATAACCAATCATAATACACGATTTAAAACTTATCCCGTGATTTTCATGTCGATAGTCCCCCATAAAGAACTTTAATTCAACTGGCAGTATCACATAACATTTGAAACTTATCCTGTAGTTCTTTATTCACTTCCACTTGATACAGATTTACGTGGTAAAAAAATGAAGTACAAAACAATACGAAAAACTGATATTACAGTTAGATTGTAAAATAAATTTTTGACAATAATTTCTTAACTTACTTTTTAAATAAAATATAATTAGTAATTTGTTGAATTTTTACTGGTAATTTGTGAAATAGTATGACTTTTTAAAATAGGTCATAGTATGTTTCTGAAATATGTACATATTTTCAAATTTTGATCACTTGTGATCAACATTTAAATAAGTTAATACCTCTTAACATAGGTTACGTATTTCAAAATGTAAGTACAATATACATTATAAAAATTTTCCCTGACTTTTTTTATCTACAAAAGTCAAGTGGTTTCATTAGAAACATTAATCTGACGATTCTTTTTTGGGTTACAAATACTCTCAATTTCACATAATTTTCCCATAAGATCATATTGTAAGATATGGCTATAGGCTAGTGCATAATTGATTTTCAGAAGAGCTTTTTCATTTAGAAAATCTATCTATAAGTATAAAAAAATATGCTTTACCTTCACAAACATGATCAAAACGTTCCTGAAATTTTAGTTTGCTATCAAAATATGTACCCAGTAATTTACAAGAGTCAGATAAAATAAGGTCATATATATTCAGTTCTATATTATGCAATGGACGTTAAAATGTATTACAAAAGTCTATCTTGGATTCAGGATTAGCTGATATCTTTGGCACCAGGATTAAAATTTATCCAATACACTTTGAATTCTGGTATGAAGGTGACACGTTTTGCAGATCACGTAGCATCTGAAACTTATCCTGTGGTTTGTCTTGCTGGAAGGGCGAGGTACTCATACATTTTTTTTAATTTCTTTTGATTTTTGGCTACTTGATAAAGGCGGAATAGCCCACCAGGATAGCTGTTAGTAGATCTTTCAATTCCAGATATGTAGTTTCATTTTGTGGCCAGCGAAAAGTGTAGATGCAGTGGAAGTAGAATGATTTTACTTAAACCTTTTTTAATGAATCCAAAGTAAGATGAAAGTCAGAAGCCTGTTGTTGATCCATGAAGAAAGGATCATCAGGAGCAGACTGGGTCTCCTCTGGTTTGGGGACTGGACACTCTCCTCCTACAGCATCCTGTTGAAGACTGTCTTCAGGATTCCACCAAGTCCAGTTGTACTCGCCTAGGGTTTTGTACATGAAGTTTAAAAACAGACAGACTAAGACTGGCGCCAGGTACTGCAAGGTCACTACGCATAGGTAGTAGAATACTGCAGCTATCTGGAAAAAAAAATAGTTGAAACTGTAGCACGTATGACAAGCGTGATCCTAAGTTCCTGCAAATGCTCGCATCACCCAAAGAATGTGTCGTCAGTTCCCTCTCTACAGTAGCAGGATTGAAGGTTTCATGACCCAAAAAGATGAAGCCATAAAGTGCACTTCATATCTTGGATTTTTAACCTTGCATCTTAGAGATAAAATGGCGTCACTTCCTACGCAACGCATTCATCAGTTGATAAAGGGTTGAGTTCAGCACAAGTCAAACCCTCTGAAAAAAAGCATAGTTTCGAGCATGTAAAACAGAGAAGAAAGCAAATCAAGTCAGTCAAACAGGCCCAAACGATTAGTCCATAGACATTCCTACCCTACTGGTAGTTACGGTTCATCTGGCAACGTTGCTCCTTCCCATATCATCAGTCGCGGCAGCGCCCACCGACGCACCGCCGAAGTACGAGCAGAACAATCAAACAGACTGTTACGCCGGGCGCCCCAGACAGTAGAAGGAGACGCATAGTGACATGGGTTTTTGAGATGAACATGTCATATAACATCCAAAAAACATATCTCATTTTCAAAAACTTTCTCGATTCCATTGACTTTTTGACATCATGGTTTTTTCGCAATGCACGTTACAAATACTTTAAAATTTGTCATAATTCATAAATGGAAAAGTGGCAATATGTCTGTTTCCATTAAGCTCTTTACTCTCATAAACCCAGATTAATTGTCTGTTTCAAAACAAGACATAAGAGCCTACATTATGTATATTAACTAAAGTGAGGACTAATGACAACTTAAAAATAACATTTTTAGCTATGTACCTTTTTCTGCAACTCGTTGTTGGTGATCTTACCAGCTTCCTTCTTCTGCTGTTCTATTCTATGATAAGCCATGTCCAGGTAGGCCTGTAGATACCAGGGCATCAATAAAGCTTTTAGTAGCATCGTCACCACAACAGCTATCAGTCGCATGGATTCGAACGCTTCCGTACTCATACTAAAACACCACAAAAAGAATATAAAAAAGTGATATGACATCAATTTCAAATGAGGCACACCCGTTCATTGTGAAGAATAAGTCATTTGCACAAAGAATGTAAAATTAAGAGACAAAACGATTACCAAAGCACCACTGAAGAGATCAAGGCTTTTAATCTTTAAAGAATATATTTCAGACCTCTGTTACTCATCTACAATCATTTTACTAAGCTCAGTAACAATGATCACAAACTTGACAAAACAGTTTTGCAATGAAAAGGAGTGTATGGTATTGACAAGGAATAGTAGCACTTCTTTCAAAGCCTATCATAATAGGCATGTTCTGGCAACGAATTTCTGACAGTTGTGGAAAAATTGTCCGAGATGAAATGAGATACTGTAGCGTCATCTATGAGCATTTGTCATAAGTATCTTTCTCCTCTCTGCAATAATCGACTTTGAAAAGATTTGAGTCTTGCAGATAGCGTTGTAGCTACATGCTCATTATATAGTTGGCTACAGCACCATATATGAGACATTAACCTTTCCAAAGTAGATACCCAATTATTGGCTAGAGAAGAAGCATAGCATGCGCGCATATAGGATTAGATGGGCTATCTTCAAGTTGTATACCTTAGGCCCGTATCGTCAGTCGTCCCTACAATTGTAGGGCGCCTTTATGGCCTCCTTGATTGTCATAGTTTTCTACTTCTCCGTGTCAGAACTCTATTTTGAGGTTATGTCACAAACATCTATTTGCATGAAATTGTGCTTGTTTTTGAGTTATATCATGTTTTATCAGCCTGAAATTTCCTACAATTTAAAAAGAAAACATATCTTCACAATAGGAGAGGCTGCCGCTGACACGGGACAAGTGTAATCTAGAAATTTTTGAACGAGAGAAAGGAGTATGACAATCAAGGAGGCCATAAACGAGCCCTACAATTGTAGGGACGACTGACGATACGGGCCTTAATCAATGGTTTGACATATAAAGTTGTTACACTTTTTTGACAATTCGTTTGGTCAACTGAATTTGAAGGTTGGAAACCATTTGAAAAACGTTGTTAGAACATAGATATAACAATATACTCACAGTGGTTCTGTCCTCCCTGAAAATATCCTCACTGTCAGATAATCCCTGGAAATAGGTTTGATCCACAGTATGACCAACAAGAACGGCATCGCGAAAGACATATTTAACAGCAACTGTTTGAATTTATTTTCTCGCCAACTCCTGAAAAATGATCAAAATAGAATCTAGTTGCCGTTTGTATGGATCATGCCACCTACTGCAGCAAGTCCCAATGCATCCTAGCAATTCTTAGCCCAGGGAAAGTGAAAAGTGCTCCCAGTATTCCACACCAAACTGCTATGAAAAATTTCAGCACTATCTTTGAAGCTGGTCCACTAAAAAATTCGTTGATTAATCGTATCGTTGTTTCCAAAACGTGGAGCAATAATTCAAGTGGTGATTCCTTACTCGTTTTAAGGGGAGTTTACACTAGCATGAAGCGCTTGCGTGAGTAGTAAATGCAAGTTGATGCATTTTAGTGTTTACATTTGCAAGATGCTCTGCAAGTTGAATGCAAATAAAACTTACGCAAGCGCTACATGCTAGTGTAAGCTCCCCTTTACAGTCAGTAAGATGCAAGAGAAATATTGATCAGACGCATGTGCACTAGCAATACAGCTAAATCTTGTCATTTTTTTTGCAACTGCCAGCTTTTGCAGGAAAATAAATCAATTAGATTTTTGTGCAAGATTGTATGCAATTGACTGATTTTCTTGCAACACCCGGCAGTTGCAAGGAAATGAAAAAAAGAATCAGGTGTTTTGTTAGTGCGCACGCGTCTGATCAATATTTCTCTTGCATCTTACTGAGTGTAAAACGAGTATATTAGACAATTTTGTCAGAAGACGATTTTCGACAAATCACAAAAACTTACGTGGAGGATAAACCCTGTTGAGCTAAGAATTCTGAAGCAGTATGGTTGAAGCTGACATATGCTGACTCAAGACCCAGCTCAAGGGTGTTTTCATCAATGATGAGTACCATCATTGAGACTAACAGATACATGAAACCCATCACAATACATGTTGATCTTTCTCCAATGGACTCTTCTCCTTTGAAGTACTGGATTGTTAATTGACACAGAACCTTGCTGTAGGATGTAAATCAAGCTATGGAAAATACCATTTAAGATTGCCTAATACAATATAAATATTGTGATAATCAAATATGAGATTCAAGGAGATAAACAAAAATGTACAAAAGGATACAATGCAAATATGATAACTAGAGAGCACCATATCATGCTAAGATTCACCTCCTCCTTCGGAGTGAACCATGTATGATATATCTGAAAAAATGATAATTAATCAATATATGTTCACCAAAAACGACAGTGTAGCAAAACTACTTTATAAAATCTACTTATACATTTGTAAGTATTTTGAGCCAAATATTTCAATGCCTTCTGTATAACGTAAGTATGTAGGTACTTGTTTTTGTTTTTTTTTTCAATAGTTGACAAGATTTTGTATCTGGATTTTATCATATTTCTAGATCCTTAAAAAATATTTCAGTGGAGGATATTAAATTTTTCAATAAAAGCATTTTAGCATTAACATACTTCTACTTGAAGATAGCCAATCATACCCTGCCGTTCTAAAAGGGATATGAAGATGAAACAGTAGCAGAACACAAAAATGAAGTCATACAGATCCCAGATCGCGCTAGGATCCTTATGACCTCCTATTGCCTATTTTATATCCTATACAATATGTTACAGTGTGTCTGAAGGTACCCAATTAACATGTTAGCAACCATGTTTATCATACTGATGCTCACACCGTTTTCTGTACAGACCATGTGGGCACAGTTAATGGTATTGTTTCAAGTACTGTCTCTTTAGATGTTGAAATACAGTACATGATTGACTAGCTTGAGGTGAAACATGCTCATCATTGGTATTAGGTATATATAGATTTAGTTCAGTTTATATATTTCAGTCAAACCGAAAATTCCCCAGGACTGAAATGTTTTAGCTGGAGAAGCATATGATAACCTATATACATGCATTTTTCGAAAAAAAATCAGTATTTTCATTTGCTGTTCAATTACAATACCCAAGCGTTAAAATTTCCTAAATCTACTAAGCATATCATCAACCCTACAAATATGCAGCATATTTACTTCAGTAATGACATAAACTAGTGCAGCATAAACTGAGAAATCAACAAGCCACAAGTACTCTGTATAATATCTGAGATGTACTACATCCAAGTGTGATACTTTGGCTGTCTCCAGTTTGATATCCAATGACCTAGGAACTTTAAAAACATCCCCTGCAATACTGCGACCATTATTCTGTAGAATCTTGTTGTTTTTCTTTTTCAACTTATCTTTCGGGATGTTTGCAAGCTGCCTTAATTCACTGTCTGTAGGGTACAAGTAGCGCACCAAGCCAGTGGAGCAGAGTATGAATCTGGCCAGCGAAAAATGTGGCCCCAGTTTTTGGATAACACTGACCATAACCAGGGTGACCACCAACTGTACCCCTAGCAGGGCCTGAAATGGGCAAAATTGAATAAAATAGTTAAAGTATATTGAAGACACCTACCATTCCGTCGACGATTCCTAACTACGATTTTTGAACACTCATGCTTTCGAGCTAAATTTAACAGAGATTTGTTCCCAGTTTAGATCAGTTTAGATAACATAACCTAAAAATAAAGCAGACTGGCAGTTTGAACCTAAAGTGTAATTTGCCAGCAATTCTCGCCCCCGTTAATTAGTATACAGTTCATAATGAATTTGTAAAGAATTTTCAAATTTTTATACATCCAACATTCCACATTCCACCGATCCAGGTTATCTTCGAACTTAAAATTGAAGTGATATATCCAGCAGAAATTTTGAACAACGGATTCTTTCACTAACTTATCGTATGTAGTTTTGCTTGATTAAACAATTACGTCAATTTTGAAAAGATTATTAATAATATCATACACTCGCCTTACTCTAGAAAAGTAAAATTGAGAAGAAAGAAATTGTAGCCGAAAGTGAGGTTAGAACAACGATCAAGAGGACCAAGTACGAAGAAAAGCTTACAAAATGACTCTGAGAGCAATCAAATACGAAAACAACAGTTTAGAGATATTGGATCAGCTTCTTTTGCCTGCTCAATCCAAATATATTCAAGTAAAAGGTGTTGAAGATGGTTGGAAGGTTATCAACAAAATGCAGGTGAATACTTTTTTACACTTCTACATTTTACACTATGAACCTACTAGGTTCAACCTAGGCCTCGTGACCCTTTAAAGCCATGTTACTATTGTTATAAGACTTGACTATAATCAATTAGTATCAGTACTGCTTTATTTTATCTTCATAAAATAGGTACATAGTGGTGAGAATTTGCAAAGTTTCTGTATATATTCACCTACCAATAGATTAGTTCAAAATAAAGATGAAATGTTGTAGACTATGTTTCAGGCCTTGGACAAAACATATTCTATTGGTAGCATCTCCAAAATTTTACATCATTAAGTTCGTATCACAATCCATTATGTCTTCTTTTTAGGTGAGAGGGGCTCCAGCAATTGCCATAGTTGGATGTCTCAGTCTGGCAGTGGACCTGAGAAATGAGAAGTTTGACTCAAAACAGCAGATGCGTCAAGAGATTGAAGGGAAGCTAAACTACTTGGTCTCTTCAAGACCAACTGCTGTAAATATGAAGATAGCTGCGGAGGACCTGATTGATCTAGCTAATCAACTAAGCAAGGATTCTAACGTAACTTTAGAGAATATGAAAACCAAGTATGTACTAATTTGATTTATTTTTACAATAGAAAACAATTATTTAGAAATATCTATTTGGGAGCATCTGTTTTACCATTTTTAATATCAAAAGCCCACCAAATTTTACTTTGGAATGATTAAGGCTTAAAAAACATATTTTGTTTCTTAACATTTTTTGATTTGTGTTTTGATATGTGACCTTCATGATGGCCTCAGGATTATAGCACAAAATGTAGAGGGTACAAAAGTATGGATATAGTAGACTACAGTACAAGTTTCAAGTATTACTATAATTTTTTGTGAGTTAAGAGTTTTACTTGTATCTATTTTTTAGTACTAACTAGTAACATATCTTCATTCATCCAACCACAGACGGCCAGCCATGGACATCTGTTTTGTGCTATCTGGCTATTCATTAGCATGGTCCAGGCCTGCTCTTAGGTAGGACAATGAACAAAAGCTTAGCAACTATCCTCTATCATGGATATAAGGTTTATTGACATGAGACAGCAAAAAGTGCCATCTGTTACCAGAATCAACCACAGCAAGGGTGCAAACAGCAAGTTGCTTGTTGGAACTGTATCCCAGTTCACATTTGGCAGCCAGGTCATGACAGTGGCCTCTAGATGCTGCAGATTTGGCACTATAGTAGATATGGTGTTGTCTATTCTATTTTTTTATTTCCTATTACTATTTTTATCAGGTTCCTGCAGACAGTTGAAGACATGCTGACAAAAGACATAGCTGATAACCAGGCGATCGGCGAAATTGGTGCCAAAGAGATTCTGTCTGGAGTATCAGGAGACAGCTTGTGTCGGATTATGACACACTGCAACACCGGATCCTTAGCCACGGCAGGATATGGGACTGCTCTTGGTGTCATCAGAAGCCTGCATGCTATGAAAAGACTTGGTGAGTTCAGTCAGTTTAAAATTATATAGCCTGCGTGGTCTAGTTCTATTGAAATTAAGCACCTGAAGACTAGAGCGACATAATATCAAGCTATTTCCAGGATTAGTAAAATATAATGTGTTTATTTTTTAAATTCATAAAATCAGGGGTGCATTAAAATGTCATAAATTTTAATCTACCATGTTGGACATTTTAAACCACATTTGGTTAGAATTCTGAGGAAGGATGGCATTGCGACCAACATTAAGCAACAGGCGCAGCGGCGCTATAGCCTAGCGGAATCGCACAGCAACACTCTGTTTGCGCGAGTCCGGTGGACTACACAGTCGAGCAAGTTCGCGAGCACAAAAGGCCGCGGCTCGCACTGTAAACAAAATTAATTCGTGAACCTAGAACAACCACACTTGGAGCATTTCGACAAAATCTTTCGAAAAAATCGAATATTTTTAGACCATATCAAAGTCTGTGAAGTGCCTATCCTAAAAGATTCTCTTCTTCCCCTTTGCTCTCGTCCTTCCCTTCTTTCCTTAAAATTGTCTGGTTTCTGGATTACCAGACCTGACAGACTTACCAACTGACACTGTGACTCAAGAGCTAAGGTCCCACGGACCGCTCTGACAACCAACCATGACTTGAGGCCATTGCGACCAAAACATACAATACAGAAGAATAGACATGTAGTTGGATTGGCCATACAGACATGGGCAATTTGGACATAAAAACCGCAGGATAAGCTTCAGATGTCATAAATTTTGTCTTATTAACATTGAAAGTCTAGCCCTACTGAGCGAGGGCCGTGGCAAATGCTTGTTCCGGAAGTTGTTGTATCCAGTATACAACTTCTACCCGTCCAAGTGATTGTGCACGCGTTAAGGAATACCTCAGTACCGATTGCCGGGTGGCGGTACAAGTCCGAAAACGGGCCAGTTTAGGTCTATTTAACATCACTAACACGTAAAAAGAAGGTGGTAGACAAGGACCAGTCGACCGAGGCAGTACCACCCGCTAGCTTTTCCCTTATAAATGTCCGCATGTTTCCACACCTAAGCTATGCAGTCGATTATCTACCAAAACAAAGAAATTAATGATGATGGATCCCTCGAGCACTAAGAACTCCGGACGTAAACTCACTCCACTCTCGGAATGTCCGGGTGGAGGGTGGGTTCGAGGGAACAACATCGAAGATAAAATTTGTTTTTCGAACATCTGCGGGATCAACAGCAACATTGATGCTGTTCATCACTACCTGCAATCCAATCGTCCCGCCGCGCTTTTCTTGGCGGAGACAAAAATCTCAGAGACTGCACCGATTAACCATCTCAACTTCCCAAACTACGAGGTGCACTCCAATCTGAGAAAGAACGGGGGAGTTGTGGCTTTTGTCCGCAGCAGTCTTTCCTGCTCCAGGGATCTTTCTTTGGAATCAGACCGGAAGGACATTCTGTGGCTTCGCCTCAACTCCAAAACATCACCCAAATTTATTTGCTGCCTTTATCGCTCTCCCTCGAACCATAACTGGGATGACCTACTCGAATACCTCGCCGTCCAGATCGACTTCCTGAACATCAATCACCCCGCTTCAGAGGTAGTCCTTCTCGGTGATTTCAATGCCCATAATGAGCTTTGGTTGGGCTCAAATAAGACCGATGCAGCAGGTCGTGCAGTCGAAGCGTTCGCTCTTACTCAAGGGCTGACCCAGCTGGTGACGAGCCCTACTTTTTTCCCCCGCGTCTCGTCACACGCCAGTAGCCTGCTGGATCTCTTTCTGACCACGCATCCTGCCCCTTACAGCACTGCTGTCCTGTCCCCCCTGGGTAACTCAGATCACGGTGTTGTGGAGGTTAGGTTTCGGTCAGAAGCCGCTGTGGCAGCAGAAACTCGCACAGGCCGCAAAACTTGGCATTACGGACATGCCGGCTGGGAGGGGCTCAGAGACTTCTTCTCTAGCTTTCCTTGGAGAGATGTCTGTTTCACTGCCGCGGATGCGTCGACTGTCTGTTCTTCAATAATCGAAATTATCCACACCGGAATGGAGGAATACATCCCTCACACAGTGAAAGTTCCTAAACCAGGGTCCAACGGCTGGTTCAACAAATCGTGTGACACTGCTCGCCAGCAGAAGATCAAGGCCCACAGAACCTACTTACAAAACCCTACCGTAGAGAACAGACAAGCCGACGCCGAGTCCAGAAACAAATATAACGAAGCGGTTCGCAATGCCAAAAACCAGCATGATATAAAAGTTAGGCTCAGGGTAATGTCGCAGCGCAATGGCAGTCGGTCTTTCTGGACGCTGGCCAAGCAGATTGAAAAGAACTTCTCACACAGTAGCCTTCCACCACTTACGTGTCAGGATGGAACTATTGTATTCGACTCAAAGGCCAAGGCGGAAGTGCTAGCCAAGATCTTTGCTGCCAACTCCACCATGGACGTCCCCACCAACGCCCAAGTGCCGTCAATTCAAAGGGTTCCCCACACTATGCGGGAGGTAACATTCAGGCATAAGACCGTAAGACGAGTGCTCTTGTCGCTCGATATCAACAAAGCTTCTGGTCCGGACTTGATTCCTGCCATTGTACTGAAGAGATGTTCAGCGGAGCTTGCTCCAGTTCTTTCGCGTCTCTTCCAGATATCTTATGAATCCGGCACCTTCCCAGAAAACTGGAAATTTGCTCATGTACAGCCCATCCCAAAAAAAGGTTCTAAGACCGACCCTTACAACTACAGGCCTATAGCTCTGCTTTCTGTTATAAGTAAGGTGATGGAAAGGTGCATAAATCGCGAGCTTCTGGACTACCTCGAACGTCACAGCTTGATTAGCGACAGGCAGTACGGTTTCCGGCACCAACGATCCACAGGGGACCTCCTAGCTTACGTCACGCAACTGTGGAGTAAACTCATCCAGTCTCATGGTGAGGCTCATGTCGTTGCTCTTGACATCACGAAAGCGTTCGATCAGCTGTGGCACGCTGCCCTCTTAAGCAAACTTCCATCCTACGGCCTCCCAGAAAAGCTTTGCAAATGGGCGGCTGACTTTATCTTTGGCCGCAAGATATCCGTCGTAATTGACGGATTCTCCTCTTCATCCCACAACGTCAACGCGGGTGTTCCCCAGGGATCGGTCTTGGCTCCAACACTGTTTCTCTTACATATCAACGACCTCCTTTCCTGCACGATCAACCCAATCCACAGCTTCGCTGATGACAGCACTCTACATGCAGGAATTCAGAGTGACAAGCCGATCTCTGCCGCTGAGCTGGAAAAAAGAAGACTAGCGACGGCTTCTTCTCTGACAAGAGACCTGGAGGCTAGCACTGCTTGGGGACGCAACAATCTTGTACAGTTCAATGCTTCCAAAACACAGTACTGTACTTTGACGAACAAAAAGCGTCCTGGCGCTCATACAGTTTCGATGGACGGTCGAGTTCTACCAAAGAGCCATTCATTTCGGCTGGTCGGAGTCCAGATCACCGAGGACCTGATCTGGCACGAACACATCTCTTCAATAGCTGCAGCTGCTGGGAAAAAGCTAGGCTATTTGTTTAGGGCTAAGAAGTACTTTTCTCCACATGACCTTCTCACTCTATACAAGGCCCAGATAAGGCCTAGCCTCGAGTATTGCTCACAGATTTGGGGTGCTGCCGCCCCGACTACATTGTCCATGCTCGATGCTGTCCAGAGGAGGGCGGTCCGACTGATCGATGACTCTTCTCTAACAGACAGTCTCGGGACTCTTTCGCACCGGCGGGTCGTCGGCGATCTAGCTCTTTTCTATCGCTACACCAACGGGCTTTGCTCCTCAGAGCTCTCTTCCATGATGCCACCGCGCGATGTGCCTGCCAGACAGACCCGCCTGACTTCGGCGTCCCATCCTAACCGTGTCAAGCTTCGTACATCCAGAACTGGCCGATACGACCGCTCCTTTGTCCCGAGGGTGTCTAGATTGTGGAACAATCTACGGGAGGAAGCTTCTCCCAGTTCTACTAACCTTAGGCAGTTCAAAAATCGTATTAACAAAATTTCTTTGGGATCATCATAGCAGCCGCGATGTTCCGGCATTTAGGCTTCTGCCTGCGCGGCTGTTTCGATATAAAAAAAAAAATTGTTGTGCAGGCTATTTTTTTATTGATTGTATATCAGTATATATTTTTACTATTTAAATGTATTTTAAAACTAAGAGAAGTCGAAAGAGCAATTGAAATTTGTTTATCGTTCAAATTTGGGTATAACAGTAAGTAATGTCAAAATAACATCCATGAATTTTCTTTGTTTTTCAAATCCAAATACAGAATATCCGCCAAACGGCTATTATTTCAGAAAAAGTTATAAAAGCAGCAGTATGAATAAATCGAATATGGTGTGTTGCAGAGCACGTGTATTGTACCGAGACGCGTCCATACAACCAAGGAGCTAGGTTGACAGCTTATGAAATGGTGCATGACAAGATTCCATGCACACTGATTCTTGACAGCATGGTTGCTGCTGTGATGAAACACAGGAATATCACCGCTGTTGTTGTTGGTGCTGATCGGGTAAGAAACTGTTTATTTAGGACAGAATCATAGCCGTTATTTGAGAATGCCACTATTTGACTTCTAGTAAGATAAGGTCCTTACAGCCATGAATATCAATAGAATTAATGGTTAATTTCTTGTGTATATTCTCTACTATACAGATTGCTTTATTGGGGACATGCATGTTTCGACCATGGCCTAGGTATAATCAACACAACTGGGCAAGCCGATAGTTATGTGGTAGTAGCTAAAACTGTTTAACTACTCTTAACAAAACACACATTGCCATGATACACGAGCAAAAACTGTCCCTAAACCTCATAAAACTATAATGAAGCGATGTTTTCTCTATGTGGCTCCAAAATTATATGAAAACATACCCAAAGACTGGAAACAATTTCGAAATACACCTAATTTTAAATAGAAGACACACATTATTGAATTCCTATCAAATATTCGTTAAAAATTATCATCTTCAATATAAGTTTTTGTTTAAGGTTCTTTTAACTTTTTTGTTTTGATTTTGGAACACATCCCGACATATGACTGATCCATGTACAGGCATTGTTCTTCTATGGATTGAAACATTTATTTACCCGTTCTGTGTTGTTATTGATCATATATAATGGAGTACATAAATGTCTACTACGAATTCTCCAAAAGATATTGTGAATGGTTTTGTCACTTTTCTCAGTAGTGCTTTTGCCCTACCTAGTTGAGGAAGTTGTAGTGAAAATGATGGTACTGTGAGTAAAAAAATTACGGAATAAACTTATTTCAATTTCAAACCTCTAAACAACAAATTATATTTGCTTCTTAGGGTAGTGAGCACCAACAAAGAGGATTGAAAACTAAGTTTGTTGCTGAAAATACAGGGTGACTTCGAAGTTGAGTCATTTATTTTAACAGTGAGTAGATCTGATCAAAAGAAATGTTTTTTTCCTTTACCATTTTTCTGGTAAAATTAAAGTAACAAAGTTATAGCCCTTTGGAAGTTTGAGTACCGCCCTGTCTCAATAATAATATTATGTGCTCGTGTTTGGCGACAACGGATATAATCCGCCGTATTGGTTCATCGCATCGGAAACAAAAAAGCGAAAGAATTTGGAACTATGTTTTTACAATTATTTCATTCATTTGTATACAGTCAGTGTCAGTGAATAGTGGTATCTGTTGCGTGGCTCAAACGAAATAAAAAATGGCACATGTTTATGCGGATCGGTTTCCCAATCGAGTGCAACCAACCCCTCGTGCCTTTGTTAATGTAGTACAACGGGCTCGTGAATCAGGTGACTTAAGACCTCACAGGGGACCTCACGATCAAATACAGGTCCGCACTGAAATACTTGTCGGGAGGATACTTTATAAAACAAGGTAAAAAGTTTTTTTTATTTTTACACACATATTTTGGTTTATCTTCCTTCTACAATCATTATCTGAAAATTAATGACTCAACTTCAAAGTATATGAAATTTGCGATAAAATTGGTTCCGTGTATGAAAGTTGTACTTGTATAACTAAGTCGCCTTAATATTATAAATATTATCTCATTATTAATGTACAGAACTTCTGAGGTCATCAATTTTATATTATTCTCAGCAACATACTGATTTAATCAATCTTTAAATTCTCTTGGTTGATGCTCGCCGCTCTGAAAGGCTTAAAAATAAACTTACTTCTGGTCCATGCATGGATTATCCATGCCATTATGCAAGTTAATTTAGCCACAAAAACATATAATTTCCAGATCCGGGGAAAACTGCAAGAGTGTGCCCCATTTTCTAATCTGAAAGAAATCTGGGAATCGTTCTCATATAGTTAACTATAGAGAAATTTCGATTTTATGCAACTGTGCTAAGCTTCTCGAAATAGCTATTCACAGTCAAATATATAATTACGTACGTGATCTTATGTCACCCTGTCAGCATGGCTTTGTGGCAAAAAAGATTAACGGCCACAAATCTGATGGTATTTATACCCTATTTCACCAGTATCCATCAGACTTTGACATCTACTGTGGTGAATAGCTGATATGCAAGTGACATTTTTGTGTTAGTCTGCAACATTGGCAATAATGAATTGGGTGTAAATGTAGTAAAACTTGTTTGTAGCGTTTTGTTTTTTGTATGCAAAAGGACTTTTCTAAATAAAAGAGTTGTTAGCAAGTACAAAAAAACAAAATACGGCTGTGAGTTAATTTAAACAAACTTAAAATGTATGGGTTTGATTGTTCATCTTTGCTATTTTTTTAGTCATATCTATCTAGTAAAAGCCAGTTTGATTCATACAATGGTTATGACTCTTATGAAGTACATTACTTGCATACCGGGGGTGCCGCAAGGGTCAAATCTTGGCCCATTGCTTTTCACATTATTTATTTATGTGATATTCTTAGTTGTAACAAACTTCTTTATGCTGACGATTTGAAAATTTTAGAATTAAATGTCCGTTGCCTTTGTACTATAGGCAATGAGGTACTGTCTCGTTATCAGAATACTAAATATCTGGGAATTGTTTTTGCCTCAGCTTTGCCTTTTTTTGAGCATATCTCAATAATGGTTAATACCATATCAAAGGCATATGAATTCATAGTGAGTAAGTGTCGGCGTTTCACTAATGTTGAGGCTCAATGTACATATTTGACTTTTGTCTGTTCAAAATTAGAATATGTGTCAATTATTTGGTATCCCCATCACTTCAGACATAAAATGGCAATTAAGAAAGTGCAACGACGCTATTGAAACTGCTCGCTCATAAGAGTGACGGTACCTATTCTCCTTACAAGCTTCAGTGTTCCACGTTTGATTTTTCAGGAAATAAGTAATATCTATTAATATTATAACTCATTATTTCTGTTTAGGTAGCTGCGAACGGCGATACAGCTAACAAGATTGGCACGTACCAGATGGCAGTGCTAGCCAAGTACCACGGGGTACCATTCTTCGTAGCAGCTCCTCTCACCTCAGTGGATCTGAAGGTGCCCAGCGGAGACCACATTGTCATTGAAGAACGACCTGATAGAGAGATGACTCATATCGGAGAACATCGTATCGCTGCTAAAGGTACTACTGTTAACTCGAAACTTGAGGCGAAAAATCAAAGAATTATCTCATGGATTATGGTGCAAAATACACGTTATGCTCTGGATTATTTATACCTCGATCGATTTACTTTCTACACCACTGGCAAGGAAGTATTGTAATCGCGAAACATTTCGAAAATAATATTATTTTTTTTAATATCATAATTGACATGTACATAACAGAAACCATGTACACCCTTATCCGTTGCTGCGTTTGTCTGTCTATCGATGTGTCCGCCAATCATTGGTCCATTTATAGCTTGGAAAGTAGTACAACTGGGATTTTGATGAAAGTTTCATATAAGGTTAGCTGGGTAGTTTTTGGAAATCGGTCCAGTGGCGGAAGAGAAACACGCCAAAAAAAAAATAACACTCAAGCTTCATTTTCTGTCGATTCGGGTGAATCTGACGATTTCCCTGAATTACTCATATGTGTCTTGGCGTCCTGAATAAATGCCTTAATGAGCACATGCCCCAAGACACAACGGCTCCCAAGATATAGGCCATCTGAGTCAGTATAATGGCGTAATCAGACCTCGACTATCTGCTTCAAGCGAAAGAGTGGTTTCGGTTAATTTCGCTAGTTTTTATATGTTATGTGCCTCGGTATCCTAAATAAATGCCTTAATGGACACAGGCACAATACTAAGCCGGTGCAAATGTATACTCAGGTGATTACATATCATACATGTTTCAGAGGGTTTTTGTATTAGGACATTCAACCTAAGACTTTCGGGATTTTGCAATGCCGCTTCGTCCCGTGTAAGTAATAAATCATAGTTAAAACAAATACATGATATATCGTTTATCACAAAAGTAGAGTGGTTCAGCTCCTCACGGTACCCCATAGCAATCTCCACTTTTGGATTGCTGAAGTTTCTCTCAAGACGCATGATTCAAATAGCGAAAACTTCATTACACACATTACATGGCATGCGGCGCTGCTCCATGCTCGCTGGTATAGTATAAAATGCAAGCTGCACAGCTCAAAATTAAAACCCTACACGTAATGCTAAAGATAACTAAATTAAAACAGTACAAAAAATCAAAACGAAAAATGGAAAACGAAAAACGAAACACGATTACGATAAACGAATACAAGAAACGACTAACAAAAAATATATAATGCAATGGAAAACTAAACACAAAATACTTGCCCAGTACTCAGTAATGAACTGTTTGTAGATTGCAACAAGTAACGAATTACCTCTCTCAGCAACGTATTCGATCAATGTTCGGCTGCGCATGTAGCAGTCTCCCTTATATAGAGAAATACCCAAGGAGCTGTCACTGTCATCACTCTTGTTGAGTCGTAGCCAGGTAATAGATTCGTCGACCTACCTGCTACTAAACTTCATTGAGTCTAATTCTTTCAACCCCAATGGAAAAGGGATGTGGTTCCAACTATATGTGATCTTTGAGACATTTGTTCAGGATGACGCGATACATGAGATTTCAAAAATTATTCATTTCACATTAACCGAAACCACTATTCTAGATAGAGCAGATAGCTGAGTAAATCCGACATCTCATTATACCGACTTGGTCGGCGTATATCTTGGGACACTGAGGTTTGGGGCCATCAAGGCATTTGTTCAGGATGCCGACACACATAACATATAAAAAAGTCAGCGAAATGAAATGAAACCACTCTTTCACTTAAAGCATATATTCCAGTACAACCAATAGATTATACTGACTTGGACGCCCTATATTTTGGGTCCCGTTGAGTTTTGGGGCCTCTGCCCATTAAGGCACTTATCCAAGACGCCGAGATGAACCGATACCCCATTATACTAGCTTGGACGCCCTATATCTTGGGACCCGTTGAGTTTAGGGACCTGTGCCCATCGAGCCATTTATTCAGAACGTCGAGACACATAACATATAAAAAATTCAGCAAAATTAACCGAAACCACTCTTTCACTTAAAGCAGGGCTTAACAGGGTGCATTGCACGGTTCTCGGTGCAAATCAGCCTCGCGCTAGCCGCGGCCGACTGCGAATCCGTCTCCACGCTCCACATTTTCGCGCCGCTGTCTCTCTGTCTCCTCGCAATCTGTTTTCTGTTCCCCTCCTCACTACCTCGTACTACTTGCCTGCAGAGCGCGGAGAAACGGATTCGTGTCGCGTCGCGTTGCGATCCCGTTTGACTTGACTTTGCTTGAGCAATTTAATATACTGAAATAATAATTTTGACTTTAGATCAGGATTATCAAGAGCAAATAAACGGATACTACGGTTCGGTGCAATTTATTCATTTTACTTACAAAGTGGTGACCTTTTTTTGGCAATGATCCTATTTAATTCAGGTACAAGCGATCGGCTTACGGCAATTCGTAAAGAATTTCTCAAATTAACGTCTGAAAGGCACGATCCTGGTTTCGATTTGATGTTTTTCAAGAAGGAGAAAATCTTTCAATCATACATATTAAGGATTTGTTAAGGATGCCGCGGCACATAACATATTGAAAAACTTGGCAAAATTAACCGAAACCACTCTTTCACTTGAAGCAGATATTCGAGTAGGACTGATTACACCATTATACTGACTCAGACGACCTATATTTTGGGACCCGTTGTGTCTTGGGGCATGTGCTCATTAAGGCATTAATTCAGGTCGCCAAGACACATAACATATGAGAAATTCAGTGAAATTGACCGAAACCACTCTTCCAGTTGAAGCAGATATTGAGTAGAGCCGGCACTTTATAATGCCGCTTGGACGGCTTACATCTTGGAAGCCGTTGAGGTTGAAGGCCTGTGACCATTGAAACCTTTGTTCATGATGCCATGGCGCATACCATATCAAAAATTCAGCGAAATTAACCGAAACCACTTTCCCGTAGGCGTGTTGCCGGGTCCTTTAGTTGCCTATATAATCTAGCAATGTTAATGAAGTTAAAAGCGGACGTCGGGAAACGACCGTGCGGACGTCGGGGAAGTACCGTTAGCCTTTGCGAAGTCGTAGCGTGGTGGTGCGTTTTGTTTTTTGTGCATTAAAGATCGACAAAAAAAGAAAGGCAATGACAGGGAGGAGAAAGGATCCCCTTTTAGAAATATTTTAAGGAGACTGATGCGAAAGCTGGTTCAAAAATAAATTAAAGAGCAACATGTTTAACCTGCAATATGGATATAGTGCCACTGGTGGCTAGAATGCGCAAGCATATTAAAAATTGTAAACAACTTAAACAAGGAAGTTTGTTAGAAAAACAAAATATTCATATATCAGATAGTTCTGATACCGATAATGATGATGTTTCTACCGAACCTATTTCGTCAAAGTTAAGTAGCTTGGAGAATTGTGAAAAAGTTACATTTTTTTACTTGGAGTTCCGTAAAAAAGTAGTGAAAACTAAAAATTTATTCTATGCACATTTTCCATGATTTTATATTTTAAAAATGTGGATTAAAGGATTTTTTTTATTTTTTGTTAATAAATAAGATAGGTTGTATACTTTTATAGACATTTTTTAAGTAACTTTTTTAATGTTATTATACAAATAAATACATAGTCATATTATATGATTATTCTGCTGCTTGTAGTGTACTAGTATATAGTATATAGAGTTCAATGCAGTTTATTAAGTTCACTCGTCCGTTAAGAAACAGATTTTTTTCCACTAGTATCAGTTCCCTAGTTTCATGTTTGATTAATTAATAAAAAATTAAGGTGTTTTAACCTATGGCCCTTCTAGTTTCGTTTTGCAAAATAAAATCAATTTTAATCATACTAAAAACATATTAAAAAAAACTTTAATAATTCACAAACGACAAAAAAACAGTGTTTAAAACGTGTTTCAAACAGTTTAAAACAAATTGGTTTATAACACCTTCATTGTTTTAAACAGTGTTTAAAACACTTGTTTTAAACATTTTAATTTACACGTAATCCTAAGTTTTTTCGATTTTTCGTTTTTGCAGGCGTAACGTGTTGGAACCCAGCTTTCGACGTAACCCCGGCGAGTTTGATAGCGGGCATCATAACTGACAAGGGTTTCTTCAGGCCGGAACAGTTGAAGACGCTCAACGATCATCAAAAAATGAATAACCATTCCAGCTAATAGCCCACTCGATTGACTATATATATTACGACTTCTAAACAGGGAAACTATACATTCAGACTTAACTATGTATATTATTCTAAAAAAAATAAATGAAAGGGGATACTATACGAACTACTACTGCTACTATTTAGGTAATGAATTTTGATATGCGCTATTATTTTTATCCTAAAATTTCATGTGCAGAATGTCTCGTTCCTTTGAAGAGATACTGAAAATAACTTTTAAAGCGAAATTTTATTGATATTAGAATCCGTAGAAATAAAATGCTAATGGAAATTGTGTTAATGTAGAACGATATGCAACATATATTTTTGATAGTTTTATTCATATGTATAGTATCTAGTACATAATTTAAACCTATGCACGTCATTATGTTCTTGATGACACCCTCTATAACTTTTTTTGATCTCCACTTTTTGTAAGAAACTGTAACAAATACGACTAACATTTTTCAAAACTTCCCAAAAGATGAATATTTAAAACCAATTAGGCACAAATTTTGTTTAAATCTGTAAATATTCAAAAGTGGTACATCCTCTATTTTACGCTCCTGCTATATTTCCCTAATATATAGTTCTTTTCAAAAATATCTCATCCCTTCTCATTTTTTTAATGGATCAAGCTGAAACTCTGGCTAATCAAATTAATGGATAGGTACTATATTTTAGCGCATAGGTGGCAGTTGAAAATTTCAAGATGGCTGGTCGCAATTTCGGAACATTTTTTTAAATGGAGTGGGGGGTCATGTGATACCTCATTTTAAAGATCGTTATGAGTACTTTACAATCTTAGAATATAAAATTACTACCCAAAATGGCGGACTGGCAGGCTGTGAAAGTTTATCGTTTTTGTACATTGAATCCCTTATAACTCGACAACCAATCATGAAAACATTATAGTATGTTATACCATTCTTCTTCTTTTTTGTAGGGGTTATTACATATTTAAGTAGAGCCTTCCGAGAGAAGAAGGTTGATATAAAATACTCCAGCCTTTTGATGATTGATTGTTGAGTGTCTCAATGTACAAAAGCGCTCGATCTTGACAGCATGCCATTTCACCATCTGTAATGATGGTGATTTTATATTCAAGGTTTATAAAGTGCTCATAAGAACTTCAAGATTCTCGCACAGCCGCCATTATGAAATCCTTAACTTCCACCTTTACATTAAAATATACTATACATGGATTACCCCAAATTTCAGCTTGCTAACTTGACCTGTTAATGGCTTGCATTAACTTTTTTTTGTAGTGATGTACAAGATACTTTGAAAATAAGTATTTTAGATATCAGATACAAAATACTTTCTGGAATGGTATCTGAAATGCTAGATACTAAATAAGGATCTTTTAAATACTTATTAATGACTGAATTCTTTTGTAAGAAAACTTTATTGTTGATCACATAAATGTTACAAAATATTATACTTTTAATGTTTTAATTGAGACAAGTAGAATCCGTTCTTCAAACGTTTTATCGCTTATTTTTCCACATGAGCAGAATTCGGTAGACAGTTGTTATATTTGAAAAATACTTTTTTATTGAAGGATAAGCATTTAAGCTCTTGAGGCTGGTATCTTCATTATTTAGGTATTACAGTGTTTCTAAGTCAACAGCGCTGCCAGTAGACCCTGTGTTTTCACTGTTTTTGCCATTTAATAAGATTTGACTTCTTTTTTATCTCACTTCCAATATTATCTAAAGCCTGTTTTTTGTTCATCAGGTCGAATAATTCTACGTGTTTTATTTAGTATAAGTTCTTATACATATTCTTGGCCCCAGACTAAAGTTATGTGAAGAAATGAAATGCATAAGCAGCTATTACTAAAAGTATTTTAGCAAACATATAGATTTTACCAAATACTAAGATACCAAATGAAAGGTATCTAAATACAAGATACAAATAGAATTTTAAAAAATTATCTTAGATACATATTTTGTATCTGTATTTCAGATTCTTAAATAAGTCACACATCTGTTTTTTTTATGAACCGTATATTCCAGTGACTTTGAATATAATCGACACTGGTCTGTCCCTATTTTGTATAAATAAAAAATTACATTTAAGTTATGATGTGCTTTATTCAAATATACTAAGTGAGGTGTGATTCTCTATACACGGGTAAGAATTGCTACGATTTTCGTGACTTTCCCAAAAATAAATACTCTATAATTACGACGAAAATTGGAATATTTTGAAAAATCTCAAGTTTTTGAGGAACACTATTCGACAAGGTTCCTAAAAAAACGGGGGTATCTAGAATCTCGACCTACACATGTTAATTGTAGTTAAAACGTATGCGTAAATTTTGAATAATTATTGAAAATTGGGCCGCGAGTGGTGAAAGGTTGAGAAACGCTGCTCCAAGGATTAACCAACATATTATAATAAAGGTGAAAAAAAAGTTTCGTCAGTTGCCTAAAAATCGGGTCTTTGAGAAAAAACTCGTGTGGAAAAAATTGTAACATAAAAGAGCTGCTTACCAGTGGTTTTTGGTTTGATAATGATGTTCTTCCAAACTGCTCAATAATTAATGCATAAGAATACAACATGCAATGGAACGGTAATGATGCGCGCAGTTACCCCAGGTATCTTCAAAACTGATGAGTCACCGAAAAGTAGCTCTGGCAAACAAGTCGCGGAAAATCATAAAGATGATAGAGCTTTGATATTTTTATATTTATAAAAACACCTAAAAAATAAAACAAACATTCTTAAGAAAAATATATAATATTTATTTATATATGTATACAAAGATACAGTTTTAAATAAATTAAGAACAACAAATGAACCCTAGTTCATCGATTTCTTTGTTCTTGGAGCGTCCAACCATATTTTTTTTAAGTTGTCGGTTCACTGTTCACCAACTTTCTGACGTTTGCGAATAACCTAACCTCACTTATGCTATTATATACATTGTCTTTATCATTGTATACATTGTATTCATTGTATACACATTGTATACATCGAAACGTAGACAATTAATGTATACACGTAAACGCTCATCACTGGAGATGAGATGGTTCAGCGCCATTAATCTCATAATAGCGAAACATTAGGTAAGAGTACAGTTTCCTGTATCTATTGGATGTAGCTAAAGTAGAGATGAGATACCTAAGAATATTAGGCTTAAATATTCCTTACATTATCGGACAACTGGCAATAGCGCCATACACCTTGGGCGAATTAACATTGATTTTTGCGCCATCTAGGCAGGAAAGTTGTCAGTGTTGGAAAGCTGTTGACGAAAACTAGTTTTGTCTGGTGGAGTATAAATATTTTTCTGAATAGATGGTAGAGCCAGAGCCGGTATTAAATTTTGAAAAATCAGCTGGTCACTGTCACTCACGTTTGGTGAAATGTCAAGGGGAAATGTCATGTAAATTGCTATCCCAGTCTTCCTAGTGCTGTTATTAGTTTTGTTTTGTGTTCAGTTTTACGAAGTTTGTCGGAAGAAGTGGTTATTTAGTTTTAGTGACGCGTTTCGAATTCCGCGACCGTGTCTGAACTTTAAATTACGTTTCATTCCAATTCAATCTTACCCTAAAGAATAAGGTCTTCAGCAGCCAGGAGTAGGACAACAACTACTTCCGTGAGTTTTAGCGCCTGTTTGTTTATTAATTAATTAATAATGAATACATCTCATACAGAACATAATATAGTTATCATGCATTTATTTAATTCAATGAACTTTAGTTGTAAATAATTTATTCCTTGAGACTAAAGTTTTTGAAATAATACCGTTGCTGGTAAATGCTGAATTGCAGAGTATGAATACATGAATCATAATAAGTTTCTTTTATTTCCTGAAAGATTCAGCTTTTACTTTCGTTGCACAAGAACAATGCATATATCTAGGTACCTGCTCAAAGATGCATTTTCTAAATTTATTAAATATTACACATTCTTGAGCTTCTGATCTTGCACATCCAGAAGTTTTTTTTTGTTGGAATGTGGGAATACATCAATCAGGGCCAGATATTGAAATCATTTTAATATTCAGTTGAGGGTGTACTTTTACATGTTATCCAGATGTTAATAAGGCGGAGACTACATGATGTTCCTTCTTGATCCAATCATAGTTTTCTGATGTGGATTTGATCCATCTTGTTTAATAGGGCATGCTAAATATAACTATATGAATAAGTGGTAGTGGTGAATAGAGAAGAAATAAAATCAGGACGGGATACTAAAGCTAAATAGCTACATTAAAATTGCTATACAACTCCATGACTTTCTGGCCAAATGAATCTAAATATAAGTATAAATTATCAAAAAAGTAAGTTAGAAAAATAAAGTATTAGTCTGAAAAACACAGGTTAAGTTTCAGAGTAATATTAAATAGCTGCTGTTGATTCTCAAAAATGATAGTATATCGTTTATACCACCGAGCTTTTATTTGAATATCTATAATGTATGATCATACATTCTTTTATGAATAACAAAAAATAAGTAAGTATAATGGGGTTTCGGATTCGATCATTAAAGCAGCTTTTTGATATGTATATTGACAGAGATGACAGAACAGGCAAAATTTCAACTTGTTTCTTATCGGATTCTACAAAGCATTCCAAGATACCTTAAAATGAAAAATGGCTTTTCCTTGATGTGTATAATAGAATTTTTATAAAAAGGGGTGATCAGCTATTTTTTGTTGTCACATCGTGTTGAATTATAATTTCTAGGTATTACTTAGATAAAACCGCTAGTATTTTATTGATAAACTGTGAAGGTTATTCGACATTTCACTCTTTTAAAACTCAAATAGGTCCATTAAGACTTCTGATTATTTGTGAATGACACACAGTTCTTATTGATTCTCGAAAAATTCAAATTATGTGACTGATGAGTTTTTTTAAAAGCTGATTCAATTGTAAGATTCGTAATTATTTTTATTATTTTACGGCTTACAATATTTTATTTTTAACCCCTGACACATAAATTCCCAATCAGTAAACCAATGTGAGTGAGGTTTTTTTAATCGAAATTCTTATTCACCAAGACAGTGCTTAGCTATGTTTGTGAAAATCGGTTCATCTGATTAAATCGGGGTTGAGCAATAAACAGCAATATCAAATATACATGGGTTTGCTTTGTGGATCGCTAAATCGATCTTCCCATAAAAACGGGCAGACCGTTCAAAATGTTATTATTTTAAATTTGTCACGTAAAAACGGTATCATCCCTAGATACACTTGAAGGTAGGTAATTTAAAGCTTTATCAAACACTCGATAAATGAGTCGTTGAAACTTACAACTAATTATACATGGTGTTCTGCGTTCGTGAATTGTTACCGAGTGTACTTTGTAGTACTCTGTAACAATTTTATCGTACGTAATTGTTTGACGTACCTCTTACATGCGTTCTGAAATAGAACAAAGTAGTCCTTCTATAACGTCAAAAGTGTGCTTTTCTTCCCGAGCAAAAAAACCTTGGGAATAAGAGTTCTGTCACTTATCTTTCTCATGGTTCATTGGTTATCAAAAACTGTTCAAAATTGGCAGAATTTAATAAACTTTTCATGATAAGTGCTACCTCGTATCCCTAGAATCTCTTAGAATAACTACAATGGTCACCGAAAACGTGGTTACGAGAGATGTCTTTTAAGTTTTGCATATAGAAACATAGGCCGCGCGGATCGAACGTCAGTACTGAATCTTAACCTCACTCTTTAGTAAACTTAAATTCAAAGTTTCACAACAATACATGCAGTGTTCTCACTACAGAGAATTTTTAAGTGTCACCAAGTCATTAGAAAAATGGAACTCCACCGAGAACATTTTCGCGCCATAATTTATTACAACTTTCAGAGACAATTATCGCAACAAGAATGTCTTGCTGAGTTACTGTCTGTTTTCGACAACGAAGCGCCACATCAGTCGACAATTTCGCGTTGGTATGGATAATTCAAACGTGGACGGGTGAGTCTTAGCGACGATCCCAGGGTGGGTGCACCGAACACGGCAGTCACCCAGGAAGACGTCGATGCTATGCGCAAACTCATCATTGAAGATAGACATGTGACATATCGCTAGATTGAGGCGTCCTTGAAGATCTCAAAGACCTCAATTCAAAAAAATTTACATGAAGAATTAGGAGTAAGCAAATTAGTTTCTCGTTGGATGCCCCATCTGTTGACTGAAGTAGAAAGCAGCCAGGGTTAAGTGGTGTCAAAGGACGCTTGACCGTTTCAATTCCGGAAACTCAAAAAATGTGTACAGCATTGTTAGTGGTGATGAATCGTGGATTTACTGTTATGAACCAGAAAATAAACGACAGTCGGCTGTTTGGGTGTTCCAAGGTGAAGAAAAGCCAACAATAGTCATCCGTTCTCGAAGTGTTTCGAAAAAGATGGTCGCGACATTTGTGTCAAAAGCGGGTCATATTGCAACAATTCCTCTTAATGAGCAAAGAACTGTTACTGCGGATTGGTATACCACCACTTGTTTGCCAAAAGTCATCACCGAGCTTCGAAAAATCAACCCCGAAAGAAGAATCATCCTCCACCAAGACAATGCAAGCTCGCACACAGCCCAAAAAACAAGGCAACGTAGAATTATTGGACCATCCTCCATACAGTCCCGATCTAAGTCCTAACGATTTCTTTAATTTCCCGAAAATTAAAAACAGACTGCGTGGTCAAAGGTTCCAGTCACCAGAAGAAGCAGTTGACACATTCAAAAATACCGTTTTGGATCTGCCAGCAAACGAGAGGAATAGGTGCTTCGAAAATTGGTTCGAGCGCATGCAGATGTGTATTAATCTTCGTGGAGAATACTTCGAAAAACAATAAAGTCATTTAAAACTACCTACCGTGTTGTTTTATTTCCATATTCAAAACTTAAAAGATATCCCTCGTAGAAATTAGTCGTCAAATGTCATTACATAACTAATAATAATAATAATAATAATAATAATAATAATTTTGATGTTCTTAAAATAAAGTTTCACAGTATTACAGAGTAAAACTTCATCTGTCAATATACATTCCAGTCCTGTGTACATCAAGTGATTTACAAACGCACCCCAGGCAATAATAAGCAGATATTAGGTCCCAAAAAGCAATAAATGAGCCATTACGATTCTGCCACCTTCCTCTCTCACAATCCCCTCCTACTTCAAAACATATCATGTACTAAAACTATGTGACTCAGTATCCAAACTAGGCGTCGCGTGGTGTCTAGGTTAACCTGGCTTATAAATAAATGGCATTTTTAAAACCGAAATTGGTACATTCCTAGAGCAAGATCCTATGGATACTCCGCGAGTGTACTCAGAAGGACATCATCGTCCTCGATGTTTCTTTCCATCAGAGTTACATATGTGTATTGTAGTGTGTAGTATTGTATCATGAACGCACAGCACTGAGCACTGAATTGAAATGTCTTTAGATTCGATCCGAAATTTTTTGATAAAATTGTGATTGTGAATTTAATAGTGCGAGTGTTATAATCTAGTTATTTGAATGTGTTGATTTCCCATGTGAAGATTGTTCAGCTCGAATTTTCTGCATTTGATTTGAATGGGACAATCGTAAACATAGCATATCGAGTAAGTCACTACATTCCTTTGACCCAGTGGTGTAACATAATCGGATCTTCTTCAAATTATCTTTACTTGACGCATATCAGTAAAAGGGTGGGTATCAAGGCAAACAAGCAATAATAGCTAGAACAATGTCTAAGGTTCTCACAAGATCCAATGTTCGCAACTTAAAGGCAAATAGACCAACGAAAACACCATCAACTTCTCAATTGACAAAAGGAGCATCATCTTCTGCTAATACGAGTTATATAAGTATAAAATGTGACTATGATTCTGATATGACTAATAATATTATTGATAACCTTAGAAATAAACTCGCATAGCAGCAGGCCATAAACGAAGACATAATGGAGAAAAACGCAAGTATGTGGAAGAAATTAAAGAACTGAAACTAAAGCTATCCAATAAAAATGAAATAATAAGTACTCTACAAAAAACTCTCGATAATTTATCAGTGAACAAACAACTGTTTCATACACAGACGCAAACCGATATAACTGAAGCTGGTATAAAATTCATGGAGGATAAAGTAGCAGATGTAAAGAAGAGAAACGGAGAATTGAATCAAGAAATCAGCAGACAAATTGAACAAATTGAGCAACTGAATCAAATAATGGAACTTAATCAAGGAATAGATGGAAAAACATTAAATATTGAAAGTGCCTTGGATGTTGATAACGTATCCATAAAACAAAAAGGACAAAGGAGCGGAGCAAAACATGTTGCAGAAGAATACTCTACAGAAGTTTCAAATAATGATGACGGAATGTATGAAAACAGTTTGTTGGAACGGGAGGCAATTCTACTTGAAGCAGTTACAGAAAATATACGCTTAGTTAATGCCAGTGAAGTTTTGACCGTGCAAGCTAGTGAAATCCATAAAACAGATAAGAAACGCAAAGTACTAATTATTGGTGATGAGTTTGCAAAAAGCGGTTCCATAGTGTTGCATTCAATGTTATCTAATCGAGACATAATTATAGAAGGTGTAGTAAAGCCTGGCTTAGAGTTTTCGGAGTTAGCTAAGTCATTGTTCCACTACTCGCAACAGTATGGTAAACATGACCTTATTATTGTTATGGTGAGCTCTATGAATATATCCAACTTTAAGCAATTAAATTTTGCTTTGAGGCATTTGCTTCCACTTAGTAAGCTAACTAATTTATTTATCATGACGCATCGCAGTCATGTTGAGGATTTTAGGGTAGAAAACTACTTAAGTAGGGCAGTAGCCAGATTCATAAATACGAATACTAATATATCACTCAAATTTAAGACTAACGTGTCTAACCCGATAGCGGTACTCAAAATGGTAGCAAACGAATTTATGAAGCACACTAATCACACAAATATAGTCTTGAGAGTAATTGATACAACCCCCTCATCAAAGTGCAAGCTTTTTCTTTGATAGAGCGCCAAATAATCAATGTAGTAAACAATTCAATGAAAATGGTTGTATTTTTAATGGAAATAACTCAAATAGTTTAAAAATAATTCATCAAAATGTGCAATGCCTTAGTAACAAACTACTTGAGCTTGAAGTGTTTCTAAATGGAAATAACTGTGATATATTTTGTGTTTCTGAGCACTGCAAATTCTGACCAAATTATGTCTTTATATATACACGAGTACATTTTAGCAACTTCATACTGTAGAAAGCTTTTTCATCATGGCGAGACATGTATATACCTCAAAGCAGGACTAGAGTACAATAATCTAGACTATTTGAATGATATTTCAGTTGATAAGCATTTCGAATGTAGTGGAATTCAAGTTATAACCGAAAACCTCAATTCGGCTATTGTTTCTCTGTATAGAAGTCCTGATGCCGATTTTAAAATTTTTTTAGAAAAACTTGAAGAACTTTCAAATATTTTAAACATTAAATGTAAAAAATGTGGTATTGTCCTTTGTGGTGATTTTAACATAAATTTTAACAAAAACTCTTTAGATTTAAATTGTCTGTTTTATGTTTTAAGCTCATATTCACTGAAGCCTGTTATCAAACAACCGACGCGAGGATCTAATTGCATAGACAATATTTGTGTAGGGGTGGATGTAAAGTGTGATACTGCTGTAGTAAACAATAATGTTAGCGATCATTTTGCTCAATTATTAACTCTATACTATCAAAAAGATGAACAGCCACCTCAGATTTCCTACCAGTACCAAGACCTGTATAATAAATCCAACATCAACAATTTTTTAGCTCTCCTAGGTCAAGAAACCTGGGACCACATTTATCATTCCACTGGGGATATTAATGAGAAGTTTGATTCATTCCTACAAACGTTTCAGTATTACGTTGACATAGCATTCCCAGTTATAACCAAAACCGTAAAAGCAAGAGCCAGAAGACGATGGATTACAAAAGGTATCCTAATATCAAGAGATAAGCTTCACTATCTGTATAATTTGTCTAAGACGGGAGATGTATTTCTTATAGAGTTCTATAAAAAATATAAAAAGGTATATGCCAGAGTTTTAAGAGCAGCTAAGCGACTATATTACAACAGAATTATACTAAATGCAAAAAATAAAACAAAAAGTGCTTGGAATGTAATAAACGAAAACAGAAACACACCTAAGCACGAAATCATCAACTTAAACATAGAAAATAAAATAATAACCGAACCAAAAGAGATTGCCGAAAAATTTATGCAGCATTTTAATGATATTTCAGGCTCCTATGAACGTAATGGAACAGGAAATAATGGAAATAATATAGATAGAAACAGTCACTCTTTCTATTTTCAACCCGCTGTAAGTTGTGACATAATATCAATAATAAATAACCTTAAATACTCCAACTCTACTAGCGCAGATAAAATTAGTGCAAATATTTTAAAAATGTCATCTAGTTTCCTTAGCCAACCTCTAGCATTTCTAATTAATTGTTCCATTGAGGAGGGGACATTTCCAGATAAACTTAAAGTTGCAAAAATTAAGCCCTTGTTCAAGTCTGGTGATAACCACGACATCTGTAATTTTAGGCCAATCACCCTAATCAGTCCCTTTGCGAAAGTATTTGAGAAATATGCTTCCTTACAAATTGTCAATTTTTTTGACAGTTTCAAACTATTCAATAGCATACAGTTTGGATTCAGAAAAGGTTTGTCAACCAAAAACGCTGTGCTTCATTTTCTTGATGAACTGTATTTGAAAATGGACAATGGCGAAAAGTGTGTAGGAATACTTATTGACTTGAGTAAAGCTTTTGACTTAGTTGACCACGTAATACTTTTGGATAAATTGGATAGATATGGAATCAGAGGTAGCCATTTGACTGGTTTCACAGTTATCTAAGCAACAGAAAACATTATGTTGAAGTACTGACTGCACAGTCTGACCAGCACCTATATCATACAGGGGTTCCACAGGGTTCCATACTTGGTCCTCTCCTATACATAATATATGTCAATGACTTTCCCGCCAAATCCTCGGTAATGTATGCTGATGATACCTCATTACTTATTAATGGCAAAAACCTGGAGTCAGTGATAAGAAATGCCAACACAAGCTTAGCTAGTGCAGAGCAATGGTTCATTAATAAGGGCCTGGTCTTAAACCACAAAAAGTCAGTGTTTCTGAGATTTAACTACTCTAACATGCACATGGATCGTAGTCTCCTTATAAAATCAAGCGGTAGATCCATGGAACAAGCAGCAACTATAAAATTTTTAGGAATACACATATCGCAAAACTGCAAATGGGATACGCATATAGAGAAAGTTAGTCAAAAGATTACCTCTCTTTGCTATTGCATGTACCAGCTGAGTTTTATCGTTTGATAAGTGGATATTGTTAATGTTTTACCATGCACATTTCCATTCTACTCTGACTTATGGAATAGAAGCATGGGGAGCTTCCTCCAAGTTACAAAGGCTTCTTATATTACAAAAAAGAGCTATGCACCTGAACAATTTAAGTTCTATAAATTCTGGAATTTATAATACCAGAAACAGAGAAGTATTGGAGGTGCCGGCACATAGGTTGTTGAGGAGAGTGCCAAATACATGGGAATAAAACTCTTCAACAAACTACCCAATGATTGTAAATCACTACCGCTGATATTATTTAAAAAAAGAATCAGGCAAATTTTACTTGATAAAGCTTTCTACTCTATAGAAGAGTTTTTAATGAGTGATAGTCTTTTTTAATTGTTTTAATGTATTGTTCAATTTTAATTTGTTAATTTGTTTTCATGTTTATACACTTCGTGTTTTTATTTGATATTTTGAATGTTAT